GAAAGGCAGCATAAACACAAGATGTGTTTGTAGTTCACGCTCTGCGGTCGGCAGGAGCAGGGTAATGGTCCTTTGTGCCTGGTACCGTGGCTCCTGCCCTCACTGAGCTTGGAAATATGGGAAAAAAACAATGGAATGGAAGCGTGTGCGGTGCAGTGCGGTTATCGGGGAATCTTGGCATCGTAAAACCAGGATGATCAATAAGCTGTGTGTACTCAGTGCATGCACCTAGTAAATTACACACGTTTATGGGTACGGTGCCCATCCTGACACCGCACCGGTTGTCCGAGACCCGAGCCTGCCCTTTACAGCCTTTACGTCCCTCTCCTCCGCAGAAGCTGAACGAGGTGGCGGCGTCGCTGTTCTCCAGCTGCGAGGAGGCGCGCGTGGCCGAGGGCATCGCCATCCTGAACGAGCTGATCATCCCCTGCATGCACCTCATGAGCAGCTTCGAGATCTCCAAGGAGGACCTGAGCGCCATCGAGGACATGAGGAGCTGCTGGTGCTCCTACCTGGGCCGGGAGGACATGGACGGTAGGGACGGCTCCCCCTTCTCGTGTGTCTGTGGGCAGGGCCGTGGGGGAATTAAGGGACATTTCAAACACCTCCAGTTCCTGGTGTTGGCCCTGCAGCGCGTGGGGTCCTTGTGACTGCGAGGGGAGCGTTTGAATGATTATAGGAGAAATTAATCTGCTTTGGCAGTAAAGCTGCAGAGAAGGAGCCCTGCTCCCTGGAACGTGAAAAGCCAATTTCAGACGAATGGCTGAGCGTTATCTCGATGTGTGTTGGCTTTCTGTTGCCTGTGAATGGAGGGTTCCCCCGGGACGGCAGCGAGCGCCGCAGGCTGGGCTGCTCCTGCTCGGGAGGGAGGCGCAGGCGCTGTCGGTGGCCACGGACACGGCCAGGAGGATGGGGCAGGAGCAGGTTCTGGGTTTTGGCATTTTGAGGAGAGGTTTGTCATCCTACGGCTGGAATTTGGTTCTGGGGAGCTGATCCTGTGCTGTGTTTTCCTCTGCGGTTTGGAGTCGGGCTCCTGAGACTCCTCTCGGGTTGTTTTTGTTGAGAGACATTGGTTTTGACCCCCTCAATCTCTGAGAGCATTTGGGGAGTCATTGTGTGGTTTTGTCTTTAGGAGAGGGTAAATTTGTAGTGAAACAAGGCAAACCCAGAGGTTTATTCTCCAAAATACTGTTGTGAAGAATGAAAGTTGGATAAATTAATGCCAATACACAGGTTTCCCATCCTCGGGCTTGCAGTAAGGGCATTTACTTACACATACAATGCAAGCGCGCTCTGCTTCCTTCAAACGCAGCGTTTGAGGGTGGCTGGACAAACGCAGCTCCCTCTGACAGGGCCTTTACAGGGTCAGCAGCAGCCCCAGCGCCGCTGCCCGGGCCCTCGGCGCCACTGATGCTCGCTCCTCTCCCCGCAGCCGCGCTGCAGCTGAGGCTGGG